AACCTTCTGTAGCATGAGTAGCGCTTTGCAGTTAAGTTTTGAGTGGGTTTCTCTTTGGTTTGCAACATTCTCACACATACACATACACAGATCACATACACATGTATCGCAGATAGCAACTCACACAGCACCTTTTTTTTAGAACTGTATAATATAACACAGAGTGAAAACGTAACTTTTGCTTGTTTGAAAGACAGGATGGAAAAGAAAGGTATTTTTACAGGGTACCTCTAGGTTTCTGGGTTTTAATGAGAATGTTGAAGCCTTCACATTGATCTTCAGACAGCTGCACATAAGATTGACTATCAGATGATTATCTTTATTCCCATCCAGTCACCAAACTCTACAATACAACTTAAAAGTCATTTTGTCCCACGGGAATCCCATCCCATTGTTCCTGCTCGATAAAAGTCAATACAAGAATAACATGACAGCCGTTGTTAACTTGGTCAGAAAACAAAACTGCACACACAGGTATACTGGAAACATATCTTCCATAAAAAGGAATTAGCTTTAGACTGTATTCATGTCAAGATTGGGTGGGAGCTTGTCCACGCCTTAATTCAACAAATCAGGTTTGGAATAATTCAGACCTTAAATGACTTCATATCATCTTGTAAATGTGTTCTTTATTTCCTTCTTCCTTGTTTTATTTCCTTTAGAGATGGACGGTCTTGTATAAATAAACCTTGAGTAAACCCAATTAAAATATTACAATCAAGCCCTAAATGCACTTTAGTTCATTTGGACGTATAGGAAATATCATTCGGACAAATAAATGTTTCAAATCCATTACACTTCAATGTGGGGAGGATCCAGCTTGCTTGGATAGTGTGCAACTACCTAAACAATGAAATGGAAGATGAAGTAACAATTGAAGAGGCAGACCAGTATTTCTGGCTGCTTTACTCTGTCTTTTCAGAAGATGTGACTCAATGAATAGAGAGGGAACATTGTAAAACAGGAAATCAGACAATCAACTGATCATGTCTGGGGAAGTGGACACAGAGTGAGAACCTACAGCAAACACAAGCTATGCAATTCCCCCTTTTGGACTAATAAGCCACCATTCTTAGATCACATAGATACTGAAACAAAACCTTCAGGCTTTTTAATTTATTATATCCGTTTTATCACCATATTGCGCAAAAAAAAGAAATCCAGGTACTCAAGGTTAAACTATTGTCACACCGAAGAGTGTCATACCTAACAGCCAGGACAAAACCTTGTGTGGCAACAGGTCAGATCAGAGCCCCTCAACATATCTGCTATTTCACACCGTCAGAAAGATGTCACAAGTCACTTCACTACATTTGACAGCTCTCTTATGATACGTGCCCAGCAACTGTTTATAGTGACAGTCAGGTTAAAGGTCCTTACACACCAAACTGACACCAAAGAACACGTCCCGACGGAACGTCGCCTCACGTCTCCTGCGTCTTGGCCATGTTTCGCACTGGAACACACCGCAAAGACTTCAGCCAACGGCCAAGTTGCACGTACGAACTGCGCATGCGTGAGTGGCAATAACTCTCCTTACCAGCAGGCGGTGGTAGTGTGTATTCGTCATTCAAAAGAGGCAACAACCGGAAGACAGACTGCGTGATACACCGAGAGAAGAAGAACAGACTGCGTGATATAAACAAACAACAAATAGCGTGTGCGTTCCATTTTCACTCTACAGCGAGAAGCTCATGGGGCTTTCCCGAACCTTTGTCGAGAGAAATGAAATCTCAGATTTGCCTTCTTAATAGTTTGTTTGGGTCCCTCACTTCCGTTTCGCTTCTCATGCACTGATTCGCTAAGCTGAACAGCCAATCAGAGTGATTTCTTTGACCGACGGCCTTTAGCCGACAGCCTCCCGATTCAACATGTCGAATCGGCGGCGGAAGGTGTCGGCACGGCCGAAAAGACACACCAAGACACACCAATCTGAGTAGGAGGCGTGTGGGGCAGTGGATAGAGCCTTGGTGTTGGGATCAGGGGAGCACAGGTTCAAACCCCACTGCAGTCAGCATGTCGTTGTGTCCCTGGGCAAGACACTTCACCCCAAATTGCTCCTGTGGGGATTGCCCACAGTATTGAGTATGTAAGTCGCTTTGGATAAAAGCGTCTAACAAGTAACATGTAATGTAATGAGTAGGGCGACACGACGCTCATCGACGGCCCGACATCCGAAATCGGCTTGGTGTGTAAGGGACTTAAGATGAATCAGTGAATTAGTATTTTACAACTTCATTGATAATCGATAACATTTTTGTTGTTTTTTTGTCAAATTAAATGAATCCATCTTCTTAAATATGAATATTTCTGGTTTCTTTACTCGTGTTGTGGACAAACCACAATATTTGAAGACATCATCTTAAATTGTGAGCAGCACTGATCTACATTGCTCACCATTTTATAGACCAAACAAGTCAACAATCATCTGCAATACTGGTTACAGCCCTGTACTCAAACAGTCTTTTTTGCAGAGACAAGGTGAGGATATTTTTGAGATAATTCATTATTTACCTGGCGACAAATTGACTATTCAGATCAAAATATACATCTATGACAGGGAAGAGGGACAGTCATGTCAACACTCAACCCGTCTTCATGTCCGGTGCCATTTTGTCCTGTATCTTGAGACCCGACACCAAAGGCTTTCTATACATGGCCTTTTAAAACAGACTGTGTTTGTGTGGGAGTATCCATCTGTGACCTTTTGCCTACAAACCCAGTTGCGGACTAGCCATGACCCCAAACTTTTTTCCTAAAACCCCTAAATCCCCACTAGTTGCTGCAGGAAGAGTAAACCGTGCATTCTGACCAACATTAGCACTACAACAAATCTACACACAGGAGGTTGTATTGCTTCAGGTACTTCACTAAAGGGTACACAAACAGGGCAAACCAGGAAGTCAAGAGTGAGCGTTATTTATCACCAAGCTACTGCCCTTTGGTTTTGTACTCAGTGTGTGTTTAAAGCTGCTACAGTCAAAAGGGTTATATAATGAACTGTATTGTTTCTGACCTCTGTTCCAGGTAAGGGTGTAGCCCTGTAGGAAAATGATTTGCCTACACCTACCAGTTTAGCTGTCTGCTTGGATTGTAATGAGAGCTCTGATCCATTATACACTCGCAGCTAGATCATGGTATCAACAGACGATTTCTGTCAGCATTTTATTTGTGCAAGAAGCGAACACAGCCTACATTTTTTTAACCATTGAGTCTCCAACACCAAGAGGTTTCCATATTGGCTGGTAGGATCATATCTGCAGTCTGGAAGGCTGTGCAGCTGATTTTACACACCTGTGATTGGCTTTCATCATTTCAGGTAGAAAACTGTTTGACAGAGGGTGCAGCTCTTGCAACAGATTCAATTAAAGTACAATATAATAATACTCCTATTGTTTATGTTTTTCAAATAACCATGGTTGTAAAAAACTGTGAAATAAAAGGGTTTTAACCACATAGTTTTTCTTCTGTGTTCATCTGCTTTATTTATGTTGCTATACTTATCAAAGCTACTGACCAACTGCTCAAACAATCCATCACACTGAATTGTCACCACAGCTACATTGGCCTACCTATAGACACTTAAGCGTCACAAATATAGAACTTGGTTTAGCTCGCACTCGGGGTGACATCACCCACTGGCTAGTCTTTCAACATGTAGACGGACAATGTTTCCATCCATCACTCAAAAGAGATTTTTTTTCAATCCGTTGATGTTTGTCAACAGCTGCCCCAAGTAATGCATGTCATGCTCTGTATCGGGAACTATAATGGTTTTCATGTGAGAATGTGCATCTTTGTCCCAATTACAATGAATCTCCAGATAAAACTGTCAACAAGATTAAGACAGATGCCGTCTTGGAAAAGGGCTTTTTTCCAGCCCTCTAATAATGTTTTTCAGAGCACAGTTCAGGGGTCTTTTTGTTTTTTAATCTTTACAGCACACTACCAGTGTGTTTGTCTATTCAAGTTAATAGAAATGTATACTTCTTGAATCTCCAGCTCTGAAAAGCCTTTGCATATTTGAAAGGTATTTATAGTGTTTTTAGAATCCCTCTGGCCTCTGCTTAAGGGTCAGTAGATTTAGGTCAAAATCGGATATGGTTTGTGAGTGAGTTTGAGAATCACCCCCTGTACCAGCACCTAGAAATGATATTTCCAATTTAACTCAATCAATTATTGATAGAGGAGTCTTGTTTCTTACAAGTTTGCATCAAAAACCTTAAAACCCTTTTTACTTTTATCACACCCCAAATGCTTCTTTTTCTCATTAAAGCTTTGTTGCATATTCAAGGTTCCCAACATTGTCCTGCATAAATACAATTCCATTTTCAAATCTCCTTTTGGATTTTTTAAGCCTTGCCTGCACAACAGAATTTGCAAATCAATATTTTCTGCAAAAAACATATGTATACATAAAAGGTATCAAGCCTTCAACAAAAGTCAACATTCTAATAGAAACATTTCTCAAACACCACCCAAACACAAAACCTAGCAATATACAAAACGTATTTATGATGGCTTCAATACATTTTTACTGTGCATATAAACATAAAGCTGTGAGGCGCAAGTCACACAAGATTGCATTAAAAAAAAGATATGTTACACATGCACTATGGAGAAATAATAGTGCATAGGGTTTCTGTACTGTACAATATAGCAATTATGTGGAACTGTCTGACTGCCTGTCTGCATTGCAACAGGTCAAAGTACTGAAAAGTCAAGTAGGAGGACATGCCCAACACACAGACTAAACATAAACCTAAATGTATTCTTCTATTCTGCAAAGAGTGGGAAATCCAGTGTGAGTGCGTAGGCAAGGCTGGTGAATCACTGCTGTGTGGCAAAGACAACAGAGAGAAAAAGCAAAGAGACAACCAGAGACTGTGGAGAAGGCCAAACAGGGCCCCTCTCCACAGCATATAGGAATATCATACTGAAGTAGAGTTAATGTTAAACAAATATCAACAGTAATATGGAGAATGATCTTAGAGTCTTACCTGCCCAGCTGTATTTTCAATGACTTGCACCAGTGGGGTCCTTGTTGACATTTTTTGAAGACTTGAAGTTGCCAAAAAGGGGGAAGGAAACAATGAAACAAAAACGATTCTTCAGTGTCTATTGTACATTTAAAATCTGTCTAGCTGAGGGCAGAGGACAATTTCCAGCAGAAGTCCAGCGCTAGCCAGCTAGCAGCACGACAGATAGCCCGTGAATCAACAAGTTGAAACCCACATCAGTGGCTAGCCGAGTTAGCCAGCTAGCTGAACCCAACTAGCAGCAACCGCACGTCCCATGTTTGTCAACAAGCACAAAACAGGAAAAAGCTAAATGTCTTCTTCAGCTTCGGTCTTGTTGTGAATACATTCAGTTTCCAGTTAGCAGTGTCAATTGTGACCAGGGAGCTACCAACCTAATGACGTTTTGGCCGGCTAGCTACTTGTGCTAGCACGAAGAAAAGTTGGTTGTATTGAACGAGACAAGGTTCAATTAGGTGGCTAGCATGCTAACCTGTAAGGTTGCTAACTAACGTCCGAGGAAGCGTCAACTGTCGCCCAAATCTACAACAAACGTTTATCCAGAGTCGGTTTCATAACACAGTGTCGACGCTTCTTTTTTTCTTTTTTTGTGGCAGGGATGTTTCCTTTCAGGTTTGAAGCCAGCTCCGGGTTCTGCAAACTTTCAGGCCAAAGTTATTCCCGGCGAGGGCTCGACCTTCCTAACTCCCACAAAACTATTCAAAATGTTCCCAGCGAGATATCCAGGGTAAAGGTATCCAAAAAATAAAAGCAGCACCATGTAAACTGGTCACATGGCAGGTGAAAAACACGAATTAATCTGTTGCGCTAGCTTACAGGCTGGCCAAAATTAGCCCATGTAGCGAATTGAGTGTTTCTTTCGAAGTAAAGTTAGCTAGTTAGCTGCTCCTCCTGCGGCCGCGGCGGTGCTGACTGCCACAGAGCAGCCCACAAAACTCTAAATCCACGGAAATCACCGGCGCTCTTCCTTGTGTTGCGTGATTGGAATAAGGTCGTTCAACAGTGCTGCACTGCAGTGTGGCGATTTACCAGCTCGTCCTGTCGTTACACCGACTGCTGTTATTCCCAAGACCCGCCGACTCAAAAAGGGATCATCAGGTTGTAAAATCCATTATTGGTATACTGGGGTTTTCTCGTTAGGAGGTGCGTGTCACGGGCGACAGGGGGAGAGAGGCGAGGAGCTGCGCCCGATTGCAGTCTATGCGCACGATCCTGCCCTGATACCGGAACAAGCTCGCGGCAACATGGCTGCTTGCACCACGAAACGATTAGAGAGGGAGGGGGTTCGTACTGCACTCGGCTCCAATCGGCTTTTTCCGAGCCTTTACTGTTGACTTAGTTTATTAAATGGCAGGTGCAGCAGGATATTCTGTGTACAATTTAAGTTTGAAAAGCAAAATCAATTTGAGATGTACATATGACATTGTTATGGGGTCCCCATATATCTGCTTTGAATGCTTCAGAAGCAATCACAGCTGAGGCAAAGATGCATTTCAACAGTTGTTTTTAGGTGCAAGATTTCCAATTGAACAGAATAAACCTACGTTAATGGCATCTTGTCTAAGATAGTTATAGAAATTAAATTCTAGCTAAATAAACTTGGGTTTTTATTTTTTGTATTGTCAATTGTATGTTATTTATTATGTGTTGTGTTTTTACTTAATCTTGAGTCTATAGGCCAATACAGTAATGATTGGTTGATAGAACCCCAGGGTCCCCAACAATAATCCACTCTTTTGACAGTTACTTCTGGTCATTTGTGAAAATGTGTACAAATTAAATTCAATCTAAGTCTCGCTTTATTAATTAGTCCTGTTGCCCTAATTTGTAAAGGGGCTCTATGTCCAAATCTAGTTCAAAATGTTAACCCTGGTGCCCTCAAACAAATTAATGTGTCAATGTTCATTGAAAGAATAGACTGAGGTCACATTTTAAAGACCTCATATCTCTTATTTTTGCTCTGCTGTTGGCCGTGGTGTCGAATATGTGTCTTCTCTGCACAGCTGTAGAAATGTAATTTGTAAAAATGTGTCCATAAATGTGACGGTGAGATGCTGACAGCTGGCACAGACATTTTTCAAGTTACTTAGCAACAGCCATGGACTGACGAAGAAATATGGCTTCCGTTAGAAGTGGTGATGTCTGAACTCTGTCAATCAGGAGGTCCGCAGAGACTAGTCACCGGTGTTCACCATCTGCACAATGCAAGGATGTTATGGAGAAATAAAAAAATAAATCAGGAAATCAAGGGGTATGAGAGGCTTGACTGGGAGAGCGTCCAACTGGCAGGATTTCCCAGTGAATCGAGGTAAAAATCACATACCTGATGATGGAAGGAGTACAAACGCAGGGGTACACAAACTCTGTTATAGGAGACAAACAACTCAGTTTTCAGTGCATTGAACAGTATTCATATAATAATTAATATCCTGTACCAGAGGGAATCACTGGGCCTTTCTTGTAACTTATCAATCATTAAACACTCACACACTAATCCAACTGACTTGGCAGAATATGTCCTTTTTTTCTTTTTCAGTGTGTTGGAGCATATCCAGTTTGAAGGTCGATCACAAGAGACCGTATTTAATCTTTTAATATATTTCTTTTACAGGTTTTTCATGAGCTGTATGAGTCTAGTTTTAATTAGTAATACTAAACCAAACCGTCATACCAAGCTCACCGGCCTAATGTTGTTTTATTCAGCAAAAAATATAAACAGATAATCAACCTTTAAGCAATCAGATCAAACCCTGAATTCATATACTTTATTCCTTCCATCTTCTTTTTTTCTGCCTTATATTTTATTTATTTACTACTAATTATGTAAATTTGTTATGGCTGCGATGTTTACATTTAACATGCTGTCCCTTGTTGTTATCTGTATCCTTTTATGTTTTGTAAATCCATACCATCTGTTGTTCCCTTTGTATTTGTTAATGTGTCTGCCTGTGTTAGCAGGAATTGTTGAAAAAAAGGGTAAAAAAGGAAAAGGGCTCTTGGTTGATTGTGAAAATGTGCGGAAGTGTCGCCACCTACAGGATGCCTGTATATATTACAAAACACTATCTATTGAAATAAATAAACATATCCCACAGCCTATCATTGAGAGACTACTTCCTGCTGTGTGTCTCATAAATATTTGGATGAAAATGCATTTTTTGGCTGCCATACTTCTTCTGTGGAGGAAAAATGCTGCACTGAGTGGGAGGTTAAACTGGAAACCGTTAATTGCATCTGATATGAGAGTATTTTTTAGTCTCATTGGACGAACATTAAAAGACATAGCATTCTTTTTATCTCCAGTCTCCTACCTCAGGCTGCCAACTGTATCCCGCCAGATTGAGGCTGTAATGTTATTTTTAATATGTGGCCAATCATTCCCCTCTAAAAGCTGCCATCCTGTACAGCAGACTGTTGATGCATCACGAGCAGGCTGTCTCTGCAGCCTTTTTGCATTTCAACATGAATCTAGCTCACTCTGTGTTAATAGTATTGCCTTACAGTGCAGCATTGACTTGACTATGGAAGGAGACAATCAAGAGAAGTACAAAAAGAGTACAAACACACATAAAATGAATGTGTGTGCAAACTCTACGGATCATCCTTCTCCTGCTTTGTTCCTGGCCTAGATTGAAATCCTTTCTAAACCCAGCAATTTAGCAGGTGCTGAGTCACAGCAGCGTGGGCTAAATTAGAGAACAAGACCAAAAATAGGCTGAATCTGTATAGACGGCTACAATCACCTTGAGAGCAAGAGTTAGTCATATCATAAAATAAATCCTTATAGAAATATATAAAAATATATGAATCTAAGCACATTATCTTTGCTGCTGCAGTGAATATTGTGTATATGTGCATGCTGCAAATATGGCTACTTATTTTATTTTTTTGAACATTTTATGTATAAATGGTTTTGCAGTTTTTGTTGTTTGTCATTTCTTGTATGAAAGCTGCTAAAAGTGTATTAATCTTACCAGCCACATTCATGACACCATTATCAGCCTTTCTGCAGAATTGAAGATAATCCTTCTTGAACTCCATTTATCTTTTATTCAAATGTCTCCATTCAGCTGTGGCTCTTTGAAGAGAGCATCAGAGGGTGACAATAGCACATGTTAGTGCTGGTTACCGGGCCAACAGGGATGTTATTAATGTGTCGTTCTGTTTTAAGTGTCAAACCTAGTGGGTCAAAATGGAAAAGCGTGTTCAAGCTGTGTTCACATGTGGCCTACTATCTTCTCAGGGATGGAATTGAACAGAAATCAAATTAGATGCAACTCAAATTCAAAATGAAGATAGTGAATAAAATAGAGTTAAGAAAATGAAATGTTTATTAAGTATTTTACAGAATAATAGCTGCAACATGAGTAGAGATTTTGGAAATGACAATACTGTGATTTTGAGTTTAACAAATTCAACATCCAAATATATAGTCCGTTATTCATTTGTAAAGAAAAAACAATAAAGTTGAATGTATCAGAAATACAAAATATACATTTTACCTGAGGAAAAAAACGTTAAACTATGTACATACAAAAATAGAATAATCTGAAAAGTTTTAAACAGAGATTATTGTTGTTATTATTTTTGAATCAACAGAGACTGAGAGATAACTTTTCTTTGATGTTTGTTAAAGTATTTTAAAACTTTATTGCTACATCTGAATACTACAAATGTCCAAACTGTACAATTTTCAATCCCAACATTTGAAAAACCCTTTAAAAACATAACGGGAAGAAGAGGGCGCACACAACAAAAGGAAACGAAGACACTCTGAAGGAATATAAATAATAAAGGTTGTGTGGAGGTGTACAAATAGCTGCAGTCAGGGAGTGAGGATCACCTCTGACTCACGCTCCTCAAACAGCAGCGAGCAGATCCTCCACGGCGACCGTCGTCAGGTCGGAGTAGAAGTTTCTCTCGTTGTCTCCGCCTCCGAACACCAGCAGGTTTCTGCCGATGGAGCCCGCGTCCATATCCACGTCTCCATCCTCCTTGAAGAGAGCGTCTGTCTCCATGGTGACGATGGAGTGTCCCGCCCTGGGGAGGGACAGCTGAGGGAGCGTCACCTCCGTCCAGCTGTTGGTGTCTGACATAAATCAAACAAAAGTGACAAATAAATACATAAAAAAAGGAAAACATACACGTAAGCCCTGTTTCATTATTCATGAAGTTAACTTCATTATTTGCTTTTCAGTCCATGGGGCCACTTCCTCTTTAAATTAAGTCACTTCTTTTTTTTTGACCTGCCTCTCACCGATATCGAAGACGAAGGCGTCAGTGAGAGCGTTGTTCCCGTTGTAGCCTCCGTGGATCAGGAACTTTGTGTCCGAGAGCACTGCACTGCCATGCCAGCTGGAACACACACAGAGAGGTTATATTACATCGAGAATATATGAAAATAAGACTTAATATGGTTTAAAATGTCTTTGAAACCAGTGCACAAATTCAAGACTTTTGTTGTTGACATCTGTGCTTCTGATACATCTGAACTGTGTGTGTTTTGCTGTACCTTCGTGGAGAGGGGGCTTTCCCAGATGTTTTCACAGCAGAGAACTCCATCAGACCTAAGCAAAACAAAAATATAATTGTTATTTTTATTATTAGGCATTTAGCGTAGTTTCATCAGAAAAACCACAGACCTCAGAGATTTAAAGGCTTGATAATACCGGGAACACTTTTATTTTAAAGCTCAAAATACAATGTCTATTCTTGGGAAAACCCAGTAATTCCCTCTGTCTATCAGTGGATTCAACCCTCTCAATGTCCTGCATTAGAGACATTAACCTTGGCTATCAGAGGAAGGTCTGATGCCTTTTATAAAAATGGAAGAAAATACTTTTTGGAAAATGACTACTGTTAATTTGGATTCGTTTATGTTTTACTGGTATTATTATTGTATTTTATAGTTTTCTAAACAGTTCCTATGTTAAGTGTATTGTGTATTATTGCTCTTTTTATTTGATTTATTTTTGGGTAGCTGAGTAAGATTAAGAAACCAGAGAGATGGAGTTGGGGGGATACATTTGTCTTGAAAAAAAATAATAATATAAAAAGGTCAAAATAAATGAACCAGGCAATGTTTTTATACCTCTATCCAGATCATTGTGTCTTGTTTGTGCGTACAAATAAATACATACATACATTTCTAATAATACCCAGCTGTGCGGCTTACCGAGGTCCAGCATGTACATGTCATTGTAGCAGACGGGGGTGTCCCATCCTCCAAACA